TTTTACAACAAACCCCAGAAAAACACAATACATAAAAGAGAACTTAGACAGAAAAGATCACTCACAATACAAGTATGGCATGTAGCCTCGGGCGATGATTTCTTTATCTTTCAGCACCTGAACTGGTACTCTAGTTCCCTAGCTCTGGTGGTGAGCAGGGAGTGGAGAATAATCTACAACTCTGTTGTTGTAGGACCTCCTTCTTCCGTGGCTGTGCGAGGTGTTTAGAGAGTGTATGAACACTAGATGGCGCTCATCACCTTCAAACATAATAAAACCTGGTTGCTTTTCTTTACAGGCAGATATGACAACCACTCTGAAGGAAAATAGTCAATTAGGGTAACTATAAAAATATCTATGCAAGCATTTCCCACTGCTTGTGTCCTGTGAGGTGCTCCTTATGTGAGGGGTTGGTGGTCAGATCTGTTTGGAAGAAACCATATACCCCGTATTTTGCTGTGTATAATGCAAACTCACGTTTTTGGTCCAAACTTTCAGGAAAAAAATCCCTTCATTTTAATTTTTAATTCAACTATTATTTATTTATTTATTTATTTATTTATTTATTTATTTATTTATATTTAGGTGCTTGTTTTTGTACTATATAAGAATTTTAGCATTTATTTTTGGACACATTATGGTATAAGAGATTTTATGTAACAAGTAATTACAAAACACAAGAACAGTTACAAGGTATTTCAGTCACTACCAATGTATAATGCACATCTTTGTATTTCCCTCAAAAATCTGGGCAAAAAAAGTGCACATTATACATGGCAAAATACGGTACTTTATTTGCCTCTAAGGAGATTCCCAATGCACACTAGTAACAAATGTTTTTGAGAAGCGTCAGTGGAGAAACTTGGTGCCAGGGAAACCATTCTGTTAGAGGCAGCAAAATACAACCTTGCTGCTTCACACTTTGGGAAATGCTGATGTAGTCCAAGCCTTGTCCCAAAGAAGGAGTAGCTCAAACTACCTAAAGAGGCCTTCCTTATACACGGTTATCTGACACTCTTTAAAAAATATCAGATACAACATAATCCAAAAGAACCTATGCATCCCAATGTTCATAGCAGCACATTTTACAATAGCCAAGTGCTGGAGGTAACCTTAGTGCCCATCAGTAAATGAATTGAGCAAAAAACTGAGGTACATTTACACAATGGAATACTACACAGTAGAAAGAAAGAGGGAGCTCCTACCCTTTGTGACAGCATGGATGGAACTGGAGAGTACTATGCTGAGTAAAATAAGCCAGGCAGTGAAAGATAAATACCATATGATCTCACCTTTAACAGGAACCTAACCAACAAAAAGTACAAGCAAGCAAAATATAACCAGAGACATTGAAATTGAGAACAGGCTGACAGTGACCAGAAGGGAGAGGGGAGGGAATTTCAGGGGAAAAGGGTACAGGGTTTACAGGGATAATTATAAAGGACACATGGCAATACCAAGGGGGGTGGAAACAGGGGAGGGAGGTGGGGAGGGCTGGGGTGGCGGGGAGGGTGGGGGGAAGGCAGACAACTGTACTCAAACAAGAATAAAAAATGTTAAAAAACAAAAAACATCTATCAGACACATTCTCAATGCAGCTGTTAGTAGAAATAGCAGGATTGATTACTTACACTATGACATGCTCTGTTCTAAGTTTTTTGTCTCTTTCCTCAGTATGCCATCTATATCTACCGTATACCTACATCTATGTACTCACACACATTAGGTAATATGGATATATCTGCATTTAGGCTGTGAACATTTTGAGGATATTTATCTCATTCATCTTTGAGATTTCAGATCCTAATAAGAACCTCTCACATAGTAAGCCATTAGTAAAATAAATAATCTAGGAAGATTCTATAGTCTGTGTGGGAGAATAATTCTGGAAAATAGGAATGGGCATTATGCCAAGATCAGAAAGGTAATTGTCTATTACATGTTCCTTCTCTGTAATGACCAACTGAGAGCAGAGACTAACCCTCCCTGAAGATTCGATTTTTCTTGTCTACATTATGTTACTGCTAGCATAACCCACTTGCAAATGAATCTTATATGACTTAGTAATATGTATTGAATTTTTATTTAACTTGAATATTACAGTTTTTGTTCTTGTGTTTTCCAGGAAGGCATAGCTTGTCCTGATATGTCCAGTGTAAGCTGTAGATACAGACTATTTTTCTTCCATATTCCATTGTTAATAATTTGATTCTGACAGTTTTCTTTTCATATTGTAATGTTTGAGCTTCTGAAACCTGTTTATTCTTTTCTCACAGTGTTAACCAACAAAATTCCAATACTGAACCTTGAATCTAGCTACTTTCTAGCTACAGTTTAAATACATTTTTGAAAGCTAGGAAGGGAGAAAAGTTCCCTCTTCCTTTTAAGTTTCAAAACAACAATTAACAGTTTTATCATTGAACTGTTCCTTGCAAATGTTTTACTCAAAAAGGCTATATCTGAACTTCAGATACTGTTGTTTTGTTCAGTGAACTGTAATCTCTAAGAAGACTATATAATTCCAATTGGTTGCTCTATTTACAATGTGGTCCTGGCAATAACATTTAAATAGATACATCTTCTTTTGAAAAGTAGAGACACTTGTGAGTTTTCTTTGTTGAGCCAGAAAAAGATCATTAGCTCATCCCTTTTTCTAACACATGCATTGAGATAAAAATGAATAAGGCCTATAGCTCAGTGCACTTCTCACTTAAACAGAGTTAAGGAGTCTAATGTCATGTCTGTGCCTTAGTTTTCCTCATCATTAAAATGAGCACAACAAGCCCGAGCAGAATAGGGTTGCTCCAGGACTGGTAGTCATAATAGTGATGGACTCCAAGGTACCATGTAAATATTAGCTCTTTCTAGTTCTGCGTGCTCCCGAGTATGTGTATACACAGCAGCAGGTGCTACGAAGATGCTGAATGAGACCACTGACAGGTTTGGGAGAGCAATTGTGCTGTGGGGAGAAAGAACACTGATTTGGGGTCAGAAACACCTCATTTTGAGTTCAACATCACATTCAGTAGCTGTGGAGCTTTGAACAAATCATTTGGCCTTTCTGAGTCTCCATTCCCCGATGTGGAAAGTGAGAGTGACAATAACCTATCTTGACACTGAGAATTTAAGATCCCCCAGATTAATGCCTGGGAAGTGCTCTGTGTCTGGAAAAACACTCTGACAACGTGAACTGAATGTTGGTTGTGAACAGAGGACAGCATGGACCCCCAGCCTACAGGTTTTGAGTCAGGGAGACGAGGATGTATTAGCAGGTTCTAGACAGAATTTTAGAGTCAGATTAATCTCTTAGGCATCATATCATATTTCTTCAATACTTATCTTTTTCATTCAGTAAACACTATTTTGAGACACTGCTATATGCCAGGAATATCAAGGATACAAGATCATATATGTATAAGATAGAAAATTTGCTTTTAAGGGAATTTTTACCACTAGTAGATAACGCAAGACATGAAAAATATATAGGCAATCAAGTTTAATAGCATATATTAAACCTTAGAGCTGTAGCTTATGTATCATTTGAGTATAGAAGTAGATGGGGAAGTAGTTGAAGGGGTGACGTTTGATGCTTGAGCGGCAGAGCGAGGTTGGTGCCCTTTCCTTCCACACTGAATCCTTCCACTCGTCTGCTAGCAGACAGACGAGTGGGTGGAGCATGCATGTGTGGGAGAACCACGGGAACACACAAGGCATGATCGCTGCAGGTCCACTGACTATGTTATATGGGTGAGTCAAGTGTGTGTTTGGGGCAGGGATGGGATAATGGCTAGCAAATACAAGGTTACTTAGAAAATTCCAGCTATAAATCATAGCTACAAAGCAAAGTACTAAGTACACAATGAACACCACACACTAAGTTCCTCACTGAGTTATGCACCATAACCTCAGTCATAAGAACTAGGCTCTTTATGTAATTCCAATTATTAGTTGCATGATCACCAGAATTTCAGTGTGGACACAAACACTCACAACGGATTTAACTACCTATTGTGAAGTTTAGATGAGGGAGGCAGCTTTATGCAGTGAAGAGAAGCAGTCAATAAATATTTGACTAGGAGAAAGAAAGTGGAGAAAAAGAAAAAAGGAAAGATGGAGAAAAGAAATGAAGGAGGGAGGGTGGACATGATGGATAGTAGAACTGAATATTTAAACTTCACCTTCGACTCTCTCATGTTAAGCAAACTTTGACAAGTTATTTAACCTCTCTGAACCCTGTTCTCTTCACCTGAATAGGGGGAATACCTTGCAGGGTGATTGTGAGAATTAAAAATTACTTTGATAAAGTTCTTGGTAAATAATAAGTGTTCAATAACTTGTTGTTAGTAATTCTTGCATTTAGGTAAATGGTGATGCTGCTACCACTTATCAATGCCACCAGATTCTGTATAACATTATGTCATGCATTTTAAAAAAGATTTTATTTATTTACTTTTTTAGAGAGAGGGGAAGGGAGGGAGAAAGAGAGGGAGAAAATAGCAATGTGCGAGAGATACATCTACTGGTTGCCCCTTGCATGCCCCCAGTTGGGGACCTGGTCTTCAAGCCAGGCATGTGCCCTTTTGGTTCACAGGTTCACTCAATCCACCGAGCCACACCAGTGAGGGCATTATAAATTTTCTTACATAGTTTATGCAAAAAATATATATACACAATATAAAGCTGTGGTTTTTAGAATAGAATCTGGATTTGGAAAAATATTTGCATTAAAAAATAAGTAATATACCTTAGAGAGGTATGCTTCTCAATGTTCGACTGAATGCATGTATATCTCAGGAAATCTAAATAAAAACACTAGCACCTTTACCTGAATCTAAGGAAGTAACAAACACCGAGCACCTGAACACCATTTAAACTGCAATGTGCACCTGAAGCCATAATGCTCTCATCAGTTTTCCTTTTAATTTAGGTGTGTTTGGAGTCAAAACTAAAGGTGAATTTTTCTTGAATAATGAGAAAGAAGATTAAGGAGAAATACTCACGGATAGGATCTGGTCTCCTCTCTGGAGCTCCCCACTCAGATCTGCTGGTCCACCGGCCAGAATGAAGGACACGAAAATACCTTCTCCGTCTTCCCCACCTACGATGTTGAAGCCCAGGCCTGTGGAGCCTTTGTGCAGGACCACCTTGCGGGGCTCCCTGCAAAAAACAAGCGGAGAACAGAGCTCACAGGGTGACCCAATTAAGACTTGGATTGCTTTACTTTCATTGGGATAGATAATACCAGCAATTCAGTACCTAGGACAATGGCTTCCCAAAGGAAGATAGCACTGTGCTTCAAGGAAGATGCTGCTCTCAGGGAAGATGATGAATTCCCCACTGGAGGAAGTGCCAAAATACCATGCAAATCCTTTCCTTAACTCCAAAACATTTTCTTGAACTAGCCTTACTTCCACTTTCACTTTACCTTTGTTTAAAACACCACCATAGTACTCGGCAAGGTGGATGTATCCAAAGAAGAGGGTGAAAACCTGGGGGGCAAGAGACTGGTTTGGATAGGCCAGACATGAACGAGCTCACAGAGTGAATTAAAGCTTACTCTGCAGGCAGTGGGGACTCACTGGGAGACTTCAAGGTACCAAGAATACTTAAATCTTTTAGAAAGATGAAACAATTGTTGTGTATAGGACTGTTGGAGAGGGATGTACAGAGAGGATGGGAGGCAGAAAACAAGTAATCCAGGTTTCAGGAAGTGACAGCCTAAACAAAGGTGACTACAACAATAATGAAAAAAAAACACACATGAGAGACAAAATTTGGGGAGAGAACCAATGGGCTCAGACGAGGACTCAGGCATTGGAGGAGGAGTAAGAACATCTAAGTAAATCACAAAAGCAGGAAGGGAGTGAAATCCAAGGTCATGAAGGTGAATATGATTTTGACATGCTCAGTTTCAGACAACGTGGACCATTTACATGGACACAAGGATAGGGATTTGGGTCCTTAGTGAGGACTGCAAGGGCAGATTTGAGGGTCATCAAAAAAGATGAGAGATCAAACCTTGAGCCAACAGTTCACTGTGTTTGTAGAGAGGCCATAAAATTATGGAATATAGGATTGTGAGGGATCTTAGAAGGCATCTAGTTCTATTCACTTTATCAGTAGTTTTAAGAAAGGTATTCTTCAAGCCTCAGATTCAGCAGTGTGCCTTTGTATCACCTACCTCCTCTTTCAAGTATCTTTGTTTCAATCATTAAAGTCCTTCTATTTTCCTGTCTTAAGATATAAGAATGACAAATAACCATCCAATGTATTTCTATACTAATGACCACAAAAAGAATCTGTTACATGCTGTCATATTTTCATGCATAAAGAGATGCATTAAATCTATATTTAGCCTTATTATGAATTAGGGTATACAATGCACATCACACCTTGTTATGTGATAGTATGATGTAACCTGACATAGAGTTAATTAGTTTTATTCTACAGATAGTTTGTAAGCATCTACTATGCCAGGAAATATTTCTGGTGCTCAGAAAGTTTGTGAGCAAAACAAATGTCCCTGCCCTTACAGGATTTACATTCTAATCTGTGTAGACCACTAATAAGCAAGAGGTACAATACATAAGTTTGTTATGTTGTGGGTTGGAAGACAATAAATATTTTGGAGGAAAAGAAAAAGCAGAGCTGTGTTAGAAGGATGGGCTGTGGCAGGGGTGGGCCTGGGTAGGATTCATTGAGAGAGTGACATTTGAGGAAAGATGGAGAGGCGAGGAAACTAGTCATATGGGCATCTGCAGGAAGAGCAGTTCAGCCGGCGGAACCAGCCGATGCAGCGACCCTGATGTGGGAGAGTGACTGGCAGGAGAGTGACTGTGGGAGAGAGAAAGGAGGAGCTCGGAGGCCAGCGTGGCTGAACCGAGTGACTAAAGGAAGGAGAATGGCACAAGATGAAGAAGTCAGTGTATTCGTTTTTTACTGATGAGAGAGTCTCCACAAACTTAGTAGTTTAACACAACACTGATTATCTCACAGTTCTGTAGGTCAGAAATCTGGATGGGCTTGCCTAAGTTATCTGCCTAGAATTTCATAAGGCTAACATCCATGTGCCAGCCAGACCAAGCTTTACTGGGAAGCTCAGGGGAGAAATCCACTTCCATAGTCATTCAGGTTATTGGCAGAATCTGTTTTTTTTTTTTGTGTGTGTCTAGTAGGACTGCATTAGTTAGGGTTTTCCAGAGAAAGAGAGCCAATAGGGAGATGTAAACGAATTTTGTTATAAGGAACTGGCTTGTGCAGTCCCAGGTGCTGTGACCTCCCAGGATCTACTACTGGCAAAGCTGCAGACCCAGGGGAGCTTATGGTGGAAGTTTCATTCGAGTCTGAAGTCAGGGTAAGAGCAATGTCCCAGCTCAAACACAGTCAGAAAGAAAAAGGGAAATTTTTTTCTTATTATGCTTTTTTCTTACTATTCAGCCCCTCAATAGGTTGAAGGGGTTCACCCAGATTAGGGAGGGCCATCTGCTGTCCGTCACACACTGACTTGAATGTGAACCTCATCTGGGAGCGCGCCCACACTACCTGGTTCTGCCCCTTTGCTCCTGCTGGGTGTGGGAGGAAGTCCAGCTCCGTCTGGTCTGCGAAGACCAGCCCAGTGGAGGACGTGGAGGGCCATCTCATGGTTACCTCTCCTGGCTGCCCCTGGTGGGCCCAGAAATCAAGCTATGGTGTAGTCCACCGGCACTATAAAGGTGAAGGGATAGTTTTCCCTTCCGTGTTTGGCTAGAGTAGGGCTAGCATTATCAAAAGCTTTCTTGTTCTATTAGCCTTCCCTTTTCCCAGGCCTTTGATGATAAGGAGCAGGTTTTGCCTGAGGCTTGTTTTCATCTGTGCTTGTTGGGGGTTCCAGGGTGCAGGCATCTCCAGTGCCCCGTCCAGGATGTACGGGAAACAGAAAGAAAATCCAGGGAAGGCCTTGCAGTGTCTTTCCTCTCCAAGCAGCCTGACTTCTTCTTTCCAACTTTTAGAGTCTCCCTATGTTTGCTTGCTTTATTATATCTATTTTTTTTAAGAAGAAGGATTAGAGAGAAATGAAGATACACCCTTTTTTCCCAGGGTGGGGGTGGGGCTAGAATTAGAAGTCCAGGTTCTGGACACTATTTGAAGATAAGGGTTAACAGGATTTTGATGAAAATTTTGTAGAAATCTCCCTCTCTTTCCAAATATAAAACACTCACTCACAGTGGATCCAATGGCATTCAAGCTATACATGGAGAGAAGGGGGGCGTTATGACTCTGAGGTCTATCCAGGTGCTGGACTTTGTGCTTGATTCTTTCTGTGCATCATTCCACTTATTCTTCGAAGCAATGCGATGAAGGAGGTGTGCTGATGTTGGCAACTACTGTGAAACCGACCCCAAAGTAAGATGGATTGGTGATTGATAGATGGATAGGTCACCTCTAGAGCACGGGTAGGAACCTGTTAATAGTGGAACCTAGGTGGTAAGTTCATGGTAAAATTCTTCAAACTTTTACTTGTGCTTGAACATTTCATTAAAAATCTTAAGAGAAATAAAAAACCTGATGAAGACATCGTTATGACAACTTTTTAAATAGGTGAAATGAAATGGGTTGCCCACGTTTCTACTGTTCAGTAAATTGCAAAGGCAGAATTAGCACACAGATTTTCTGACTCAAAATCTCAGAGTCCAGAGCCTAATCTATTCCAGAGATTGCAAATCAGCAAACTGAAGGCCTAATCTGACCCACAGTGTTTACAAATTTTTAAATCAGTTACTCATGTTTAAAATGAGAAAAATTTGCCTAAAATGCGGATTTATGGCTTCATGTGGAATCAGATGTTCTATCAGCATGGCTGTCAAGCTTGTTGACTAGCAACCACTGGCTAGAGCAGGGTTCTCTGTAGGGGGGGGCACTCCTTCTCCAGTGTCCATCGCTTCACCTCTCCCTCATGTTTCCCAGGGAAAAAAACTGTCAGTGACAGCTGTCAGCTGTACTTCTGGCAAAGTTAAGAAGAAAGTGAAGCACCCTGTACTGATGCTTCTATCAAAAATGGGAAAGTGACACCTTTATAATATTTTAGTAGAAAATGGGAGGTGATATCTTTCCTTTGGAAGTAAGAATTATCCTCACATGTTTAATATGCAAAGTGACTCTGCAGAAAGAGCACTGTGAAGTATCACCCCCATAACTTCTCTATGATCCTGATGTGGGGGCATTTTGTTAGTGACCTCTGCACTTTGACATATTGCTTCCTATTTGTAAAGACACAAAACATAATCTTTGAGTGACAGTAGATTTGGTTTATTTTACCTGGACCTTACTTGTTTATTTCAAATAATATGAACAGGTCTTTAAACCAAATTACTCGAAATTTTCTTAACTTGTGAGATTTAAGGGTCTTTTTAAAAGTATAGTTTTACATTTCAGTGCATTATGATACATATTTTAATAATCGGGAGAAATAACAAAGAAATAAGTCTTTAAAATAATGTGCAAATAAAATGTCTTAGCACACTCCAAATAATTTACTTTTTCTAATTTAAATTCTTTATAATGAGGACTGATTATATTAAACTGTAGATTTTAATGTGTTTTCATGTATTCTTTCCTGTTAGAGGGTAGAGGCCATGGGAAATATTAGAAGTTTTATTTTACTCAGATAAATCAATCAATTCTCTAAGCTGGCTGAGCTTTGGCACATAGCTAGGAAACATCAGAGTCCCTTTATTTCTTTTTAAATTGTTTTCAAACTTGTTTTTTTAGAGCAGTTTTAGGTTCACAGTATAAGAGGAAGGTACAGAGATTTCCCACATATAGCCCTTGCTTCCACACATGCATACATACCCCCTCCCCCATTATCAACATCCCCCACCAGACTGGTACCTTTGTCACACAACTGATGGACCTACATGACATGTCATTATACCCAAAGTCCTTAGTTTACATTAGGGTTCACTTTTGGTGTTGTACATTTTATGAGTTTGGATCTACCATTATAATGTCATACATAATAGTTTTACTGTCCTAAAAAATCCCCTGTGCTTCACCCTCTATTCACCCCCCTTTCCATACAACCCTCTCCACAGAACCACCAATCTTTTTATTATCTGCATAGCTTTGCTTTTTCCAGAATGTAATGTGGTAGGAATCACATGGTATTGCTGCTTTCTCAA